TCGTTCTGCTGTGCATGGGGTCGCTATGAGTCGGAAACAACTCGACGGCACTTAACAACAACAACAAACAACCTGAGCATTCCCACCATGATAATCACCCAGGTTTCTTGTCTGGATTTCTAAGCTACTATTTCCCTGATCCAGCAGCTGAGATATTAGTGAGGTCTTGGTATATGGTTCAGTTGGGGGACTCCTTCTGAGTGCTCTGTTTGTTCCAGTCGTTAACATTTTGAAAATTTCCCCTGATTACTTCATTTGTAATTTGTTCAGTGCAAAAATTCCCCTCTTATCTTTGGTAAATATGCAATAGTTGAGTAAGATTGGGCAGAAATATTAACATACCATGTTCTCTTTGTTTTTAATTTGTTAAACTGATCTTTTTGGGAAAGGGGAATTATTCATCTTAGAGAAATTTACCTGATATTAGAAACAATATTTATAATTTGTTAATTCTATCTGTTTCTTATGAGAGAGTAAAAGTAATTAGGAGCTCTGGTAGCATAGTGTCTAAGGCACTTGATTGCTAACCAGAAGGCTGGAGGTTCAAACCCACCAGCCACTCCTCGAAAGGCAGATGGGGCAATCTACCTCCGTAGTGATACTGCCTCGGCAATCCAAGGAGGGGTCGCCATGAGTCGGGTCCAACTCGAGGGCACATAACAACAACAACAAAGGAAAAGAAAAAAAGAATAAGAGTAAAGGTCATATTACTGCTTATTGCATGACTCTAGTTAACACCTTTACTTCCAATTACTGCTCTGCTGTTTATTGAATGTTTCTTTTTTTCTGTTTTTTTAATATTATTATGGTAAACGTATATATGTAGCAAACTGTTTGCCATGTCAACATTCTCCATGTGTATAATTCAGTGACATTAGTTATGTTTATCATATTGTTCTACTATTACCATTATCTGTTTCTATATTTTCTCTTTATGCCTAGTTGGAGCTCAGCATTGTTTACTGAGTTTTAGTAGTGGTCAGCAGGACAGCTTTTTATGTCCCTGACTGTACCACTCCATGAAGGCAAATTTGCTTATCTTCTGTACCATTGAACACCCTACCCTTGACAGGGTCAGGCACATGGTAGGTATTCAAGACTCTTGTTCAATGAAAGAATTAATGAGACAGATGCTAAAGAATTGAGCACCACACAACTGTTTTTAAAGTAAAGGGAAACTGAGAAAATATGCTTCTATTAGGAAAAGAAACAATGTATCATTGTATATTCAGCAAGATTTCAACTATATAAAGAATATATGTATACAGAAAATAAAAACTGATACAGAATATAAGCATGCCACATTAGTGGCATTTTTCTTAGTCTTTTAAAAATGTTCTGTACTTTCCAATTCATGGTGTAGTAAGCAAACATGTATTGTTTTTATATTAAGGGGGAAAAAAAAGCAAT